CTTTCTCATTACTTTATTTTCCAGATCACCAGACTGGGCCACAGCAACGCGTGGCAGGGGACCGCTAGTAAATAATAAAATTTCCCCATATTTTCCAATAGTCTGTTTACATATTCCCCTTTTAATTTTAATATTGCAAGTTAGCTTATCATTAATCATTATTAATGATAAGGGGGAAATGCTTTTATAAGATTAATGGATATGTCAGTGTTGATGGCATTGAAGACCCCTGAGACATATTGCCATGGCTGCCTGTTTGTGTTTCTGGTTTAAGGAGAGAGATAGTAACCATCTCTGATGTTGTTTTCTGTCTGTTTTCTTTTGAAAACCCCATTAAAGTGGGTGGACCAGTCTAGTTTGCCCAAGCACAGGAAGACTGGCCCTCCTGCAGGGCCCGGCGGGAACGAGGCGCTGTTGGAAAGAAGCCGCTTACGGGTCCAGGACAAGGAACTGCAGGAGATCTCAGATGACGGCTGGTGCCTCAGCATGCATCAGCCTTGGGCCTCCTTGCTGATCAAAGGAATCAAAAGGTAAGCGGATGACAGTAACCAGGAATGAGTTTTTGTTATGATCTGTTTTCAAGAGTGTGGCTTCTAGAATTTAATTTTTGTTAATATTTTGCCTCAGAAAACCCTATGATATTCATGGGATTGCCATAAGTCGGCAGGTGACTTGAAGGCACATACAGAAGACCTTTTCTTCTCCTGCATCCTACGCTAGGTGGGGCTCTTTCCCACTCTTCCTCTGAGCAGAACTGCTGCATAGCTCCAGCTTGGTTAGCCAAGGGCCAGCAACCTTTTCCGCTCCCAAGGGCTGCAATTGATTATGGGTCAGGGACCAAACACACAAAACAAAAAACATCTGCAACCCAGCAATCCTGATGCAGATGGCCTTTTCCTTCCTGCTGGTGGCAAGTGGGGGACAAGAGAGATGTATGAGGCGCAGTGGGGGAGAAAGGGGAGAGCCATCTCCCTACACTGTCCTCCAGCTTTGCTAAATCAGGCTAGTACTTCCTCGTAACTGCTAGTAGCAGGAGAAAAAGAATCTAATGGGGGCATTTAGCAGCAAAAAAATCAACTGTGTCTTCTTTCCCAAGGGGCCTTGTGGCTTTCTCTTGGAATCTCTTGAGAAGCTAGTGTAGCCCATAATCCCTGTTTCATTGAATTATTTATTTATTTATTTACGACAGTTATATGCTGCCCTTCTCAACCCAAAGGGGACTCAGAGCGGCTAGCAAGTATATATATACACACAAACACACAATATATTATATTGTTAGCATAGTACAATATCGGTATTAAATATTACTATATTGTACTATACCATTATATTGTAATATTAGTAATATTACATGTAATGTAAATATATAATTATAATATCATTATTAGTATTATATTGCATTACATTATAATATTATAAATATTATATGTATACACAATATATTATATTATATTACATTATATTATATTACTAGCAGTCCCCTGCCACGTGTTGTTGTGGCCCAGTCTGTGTATTTGTGTTTTGTGTGTGTATATATGTGTGTATGTGTGTGTATATATGTGTGTTTTCGTATATATATTTGTGTGTATATATTTGTGTATTTGTGTGTTTATGTGTGTACATGTATATTGTGTATATGTGTATGCTTGTCTATATGCATATTTGTGTGTATATATGTATGCATGTGGATATGTATATATGTATGTGTGCATGTATATGTGCATATGTATATGTATATATGTGTATGTATATGTATGCGTGTATATGTGTATATTTGTGTGCGTATGTGTGTATGAATGTGTACATGTGCATATGTATATGAATGTATGTGAATGTGTATATGTATATATAGTGTATTTTTTGGTTTTTAAATCTGTTAAGCTGGAGTTTTGTGTGTGCGCGCGTGTGTGTTTGTTTATGGATGATGGACACTTGTTGGACTGTTAGGTGTGTTGTGTCCAAATTTCGTATCAATTCATCCAGTGGTTTTTGAGTTGAGTTAATCCCACAAACGAACATTACATTTTTATTTATGTAGATTAGAATAGCACAGGGGACAAGATAGAACTTTCCCCTGGCCCCCTCTCTCTTCACTCTTGCCCAGAGCGGGCAAGAGTTGCTGGGGGAAGGGGTCACCAGCTGATGACATATGCAGGAGACAAGATAGAACTGTCCCCTCCCCCCTCTCGTCACTCTGGCCCAGATCAGCAGTTGGTGCTGGGGGGAGGGGTCCCTGACTGATGACATATGCAGGAGACAAGATGGAACTGTCCCCTGGCCCCCTCTCTCTTCACTCTGTCCCAGTGAATTAGACTCTCAGTTTAGAGCAGGGATGAGAAGAATCTGGCCTGAAGGTCACTGTTGTAGTTCATCCATTGATTGTGCCTGAACCTGATCTCTCTGGGGATTCTGGGCCTGTTAGTCATTCAGAGGACACTGGGGATTCTGGGTCTGCGAGTCAGCAGGAGAGCCAGCAAGAGATTTTAAGCTCTGAAAGCTCTCCTGCTGACTCGCAGACCCAGAATCCCCAGTGTCCTCTGAATGACTAACAGAAACACTTAAAATGTTTCTGAAGGCCACATTCCTGAAAAAAGGCAGTTTGCTAGGGAAGCAAGGTCAAAAACAGATCTGAGCTCAGAGGATGAAAATGAAAATTCAGGTGGGCAGACTAATGAGCGATTAAATAGGAGATTTACGATCCATCAACATAGAGCTTTTCAGGAGAGTTTGCGAAGGTCAAGATGCCTATTAGCCAAAAAGTCCTTATCAGTTTCCCAGGGGGAGAAGGCATGACTTTATATTAGCTAGCGCAGCAGATGAGTCCGTTAGTCCAGGCAACGTTGATGTTTGAGTTTAGATCCATTGTCAAGTCAAGGGATTTCTAGTTCCAGGTTCCAGGTTTCCTTTTGTTCATGTCTCATGATTCCAAGTTTTGAGGATTGTTCCTGAATCTCATGTTTTGGATTTATTTTGCTTTTGTATTACTGTTTTTTGGTGCTATTCCAATATTTTCATTTCTGTGGATTATTCTCGATAATAATCGAGATAATAATTTTGCAGATTGCTTTTCATATATATTCCTCAATAAACTGCTTTGTTATTTTACCTTGGACTGGAGTGTTGTTATGTACAGAGGTGGTTCTCAGTCTTTAAGTGCAACGGTCATATCCATTCCCTAAGATTGATTTTTTTTTTCCCTTTTTGGATTTTGTTTTGCCTCGGAATATCCTTAAAAGTCTGCTAACAGGAGTGGAAACACATTTGCCATATTGTTTGGCCTGCTCTGAGCCTTCCTGCTGTGAATAAGGTCTCTCTTGAATTTGTATGAGTATTTCTCTGGTTCTTCATTGATCATAATTCTGGAGCCAGTCTTGCATCTTCTGAGCTCTTTTCTTGGATTTCCAGCTTTGCAATTCGGTCTCTTTTTGAATAGTGTTCTATGCAAATGATTGGCGATTGTCTCCTGCAGAGTGCAGAGTTCAAGATACAAAAGTGGGACCTGATTTGTGTCCACAATGGTGTAGGTGCTCTGGTCAGCATGCCCTCAATCCCTCCTTCTCTCTGTAGGGTGGAAGGTAGAACTTGGTACACATCGCACAGGGGACGACTCTGGATAGCCGCTACAGCTAAAAGACCTTCCCAGCAGGAGATCTCTGAGCTGGAGACCACCTACAAAATCCTCCTGCAGAAAGGTGAGTCCTCTGTGGACAGGAGGCCAACGTAGCCTCTCTGAAAGTACTCATTTTTCTTGAGAGTCCATCTCAAAGTAGTGACCAGAAATGTTTTATTTTCATTACTATTTTGACATGAAAACAAACTAATTTTAGGGATTGGGGTGATGGGTGTTAGAAATATTAAATATTAACTAGGTGTTTTTAATTACAAAAATGTGACTCAAGTACAGAAAGGATCAGTGTTTCTCAGCCTTCCTAATGCCGCGATCCCTTAGTACATTTCCTCATGTTGTGGTGACCCCCAACCATAACATTATTTTGTTACTTCATAACTGTAATTTTGTTCCTGTTATTAATTGTAATGTAATTATCTGATAAGCAGGATGTATTTCCAAATTTGGCACAAATACCCGATATGCCCAAATTTGAATAGTGGTGGGGTTGGTGGGGGGGGGGGGGTGGGGGGGATTGATTGATTTTGTCATTTGGGAGTTGTAGTTGCTGGGATTTATAGTTCACCTACAATCAAAGAGCATTCTGAACTCCACAACAATGGAATTGGACCAAACTTGGCACACAGAACTCCCATGACCAACAGAAAATATTGGAAGGGTTTGGTGGCATTGACCTTGAGTTTTGGAGTTGTAGTTCACCTACATCCAGAGAGCACTGTGGACTCAAACAATGATGGATTGGACCAAACTTATTTATTTATTTATTTATTTACTTTGCTTATATACCGCTGTATCTCAAGCCCGAAGGCGACTCACAGCGGTTCACAAACAGTAAAAACAGTAGAAACAGCAGTGGTTCCATACAACATATAACAATTGACTTAACACATTATCCATAAATTACCAATAAGCAATTACAATGCACAATTATTACAAAAAACAACCGTACCCAATCTTCTCATCATCCAAGCGTAGTCCAGGTTCGTCGTCCATTGTTCCATTCCTATGTTCCATTACCAGATTACACTAAATTACTCAAATGCCTGCACAAACATCCAGGTCTTCAACTTTCTTCGGAATGCCATGAGAGATGGCGCCAGCCTAATGTCCGTAGGAAGGGCGTTCCACAGCCGAGGAGCCACCACCGAGAAGGCCCTATCTCTCGTCCCCGCCAACCGTGCTTGAGAAGCCGGCGGGATCGAGAGCAGGGCCTCCCCGGAAGATCTCAAAGTCCTGGTGGGTTCATAGGCAGAGATGTGGTCGGATAGGTATCTTGGGCACTGGACCAAACTTAACATGAATACTCAATATGCCCAAATGTGAACACTGGTGGAGTTTGGGGAAGATAGACCTTGACATTTGGGAGTTGTATTTGATGGGATTTATAGTTCACCTACACTCAAAGAGCATTCTGAACCTCACCAACAATCAAATTGGACCAAACTTCCCACACAGAACCCCCATGACCAACAGACCCCTTTGGCGACCCCTCTGACGCTCCCTGGCGACCCCCGCAGGGGTCCCGACCCCCAGGTTGAGAACCACTGGATTAAATGGATGCAACGACTCAGCAAAAACTAGTTCAGTATAAGCAGGTGTGCCTGCAGCTTAGTAGCCCTCAGTCTGTGAGAAGTCTCTGTGGAAGAAAGGCCTCACTGTGTCAATAGGCCTCAGTATAGTATGCCTCAGTATTAGTTCACCTCAGTCTGATAGGTGTCAGTCTGAGAGAGCCCTCAGTGTGAAAATGCCTCAGTGGGAGAAAGGCCTCAGTGGGAGAGAGGCCTCAGTATGAGGTAGGCCTCAGTATGAGTAATCCTGATGTGAGAAGCTTATGTTAGAGAAGCCCCAGGTTGAAGACCTCATGTGTAAAGCTCCAGTGTGAAGGCTGCTGTGTGTAAAAAGCTACTGTGTGAAGCTCCTGTGTAAATTCGGAATGAGAGGAAGCTTGTTGAGAGTGACGCTGTTTATCTGCATGAGAAAGAAGCCCAGCATGGAAGCAAAGAAGGAAGTATTAAGAACTTTATTTGTGTTATGGAAACCTTGTTCTTATAGACAGTGCAACCATGTTATTTTACTACAAAGAAAAACCTCCTATGGAAGATATAATATTGGTCTGTGTGTTTTTGTTATTTTCATCATTTTTGGCGACTGCTGCTGGGTCACGCTGCTGCTAATAAGTTACTCTGCTATACGTTTATGAGGAGGGTCTTTGTTAATAAGCCCAATCGCTCAACAGTTGGTGTGTTTTTGAATGCTGATAGGGCCTTTTGTGTGATTTTAATCAAAGTGGTCTCATAATCATTCCATTTTTAAAAATTAGGAGTTAGGGTCGCCAGGGGGCAACGCCTTCTGTTTCCTAAACAGCTCAAGAGGGGCAATGTACATGAAGTAAAATTACATCATATAATGTTCAGATGGAATCTCCTTTCTTGTAGTTTGAAGCCATTGTTCCATTGTGTCCTAGTCTCCAGGGCAGCGGAAAACAAGCTAGCTCCCTCCTACCTGTGACTTCCCCTCACATATTTATACATGGCTATCATGTCTCTTCTTCAGGCTAAACATGCCCAGTTCTTTAAGCCGCTCCTCATAGGGCTTGTTCTCCAGACCCTTGATTATTTTAGTCGTCGTCCTCTGGACACATTCCAGCGTGTCAATATCTCTCTTCAATTGTGGTGCCCATAAGTGGACACAATATTCCAGGTGTGGTCTAACCAAGGCAGAATAAAGGGGTTTCCTTCCTGTTGAAATTGTCCACATGCTTCTGAAACATGGCCATACAGCCCGGACAACTCACAGCAACTCAGTGATTCCGGCCATGAAAGCCTTCGACAATACACAGGAAATGTCATTTTTGAAGAAAAGTTCACTTTTCCCCTCCATAAATTCCCTCTTTCTTTTCCCTTTCCTGCTTTTCTTTCCTGCCTTTCCCATACTCTGCTCCCTATCTCTTGATTTCCATATGCCTTCCGTATTACGGAAGATCCAATTGACCCTGACACGGAAAGAAAGTGGCTGAGGCAACGTAACATTGAGATAAAGCATTTGAGCATCCTTCCATACGCTTGGGCTTGGGACATGGCCAGACGTGAAGTATGACAGTAATGTGTGCCCTGACCAGTATTCCGATCTAAAGGCCATGTGTCAGATTGGATTCCAGCCTGTGGACTTTGGCTTCGAAGCAGCAGCTCCGACCTCCTGTGCTGTGATCTCAGACACTTTGGTTCCGCTGGGGAAGGTCAAGCACAGAACATAGTGAGAGATGACAGGTCAGGATTTCAAATGCCTGTCTGTTTGTTTGTGGGAGACCGTTCTGAGAAAGGCAGCTTGTCCCAGTATGGAGTGTGCTATCTTGGCTCCTCGCAGCATGGGAATCAGCAGAGAACTGGGTTCCTGGTGTAGCTGTATTATTATTACTACACTCAGCCCTCTGTAGCCACATATTCTGGGTTGAAAATATTTTTTTGGAAAATAATCCAAAAAGCAAACCTTGACCCCTCCCCAATTTTACTGTATTATTGTATACTAGCCGTCCCTTTTGAAATGGTCATATGACGGATCAAATAAATAAATATTATTATTATTATTGTATACTAGCCGTCCCCTGCCACACGTTGCTGTGGCCCAGTTTATGTGTTTTGTGTGTATATATTTTTGTCTATATGTGTGTTTGCATATATATGTGTGGTTTTGCGCATGCATTTTAATGTATTTTTTGTTTTTTAGCTTTTTAAGTCTTTTCTGTTGTGTTTTTCATTGTTTTTATGAGTGATGGTTACTCGTTGGCCTGATATGTGCATTGCGTGAAAATTTGGTTTCAATTCGTCCAGTGGTTTTTGGGTTATGCTACTCCCACATACGAACATTACATTTTTATTTATATAGAAGACTAGCTGTCCCCTGCCATGCTGTGGCCCAGTCTGTACATGTGTGTGTGTGTATATTTGTGTAAGGTAAAGGTAAAGGTTTTCCCGTGACATTAAGTCTAATCATATCCGACTCTGGTGGGTGGTGCTCATCTCCATTTCTAATCCGAAGAGCCGGCGTTGTCCGTAGACACCTCCAAGGTCATGTGGCCGGCATGACTTCATGGAGCGCCTCTACCTTCCCGTTGGAGCGGTACCTATTGGTCTACTCACATTTGCATGTTTTAGAACTGCTAGGTTGGCAGAAGCTGGGGCTAACATGCCGCTCCCCCATTTGAACCTGTGACATATGTGTGTTTGCGTATATATGTGTGGTTTTGCACATGCGTTGTAATGTATTTTTTGTTTTTCGGTTTTTTAACTCCCTTCCACTGTGTTTTTCATTGTTTTTATGAGTGATGATCACTCCTTGGCCTGATAGGTGTATTGTGTCCAAATTTGGTGTCAATTTGTCCAGTGGTTTTTGAGTTAAGTTAATCCCACAAACAAACATTACATTTTTATTTATATAGATTTACCAAGAGCTGCTGCATTTTCCACCCTAGGCTTATACTCGAGTCAATACGTTTTCCCAATTTTTGTGGTAAAATTAGGTGCCTCAGTCTATATTCGGGTTGGCTTATACTCGAGTATATATGTAATACTTTTTTTATTAATAATCACTATTACCCTTGTTTGATTATTGGCTCTCTTTCCTGCTGGGAGATTTTTGCTTGTCCTTGTTCATTCCCTCGCTTTTGATTGTCACAAATGTTTTAAATTCTGCATGACCTTAAATTGTAGAATTTCAGGCAGAAAAATGTATTCTAATTAAGGAGCTGGCATATTTCTTGGCCCAGGACCTGGATGTTTGGGCAGTGAAAATAATGCTTGACCTTTGTTGAGTTGCCACCTAGGCCCAGTAATGGTCTTGTGCTGTTGGAGACACATTCATGGAACAGATGAGAGGGCCTTGGAACGTCTGGAGAACCACCTCCAGGACTGTCGGAGAGCTTTCCCCCTGCAACTATTATCAGACAATGCTTTTCAAAGGAAATGTACACAGTGTCCAAGCCATAAAATAAGCAGTTAAAAGCACTGTAGAGAGAACAGCCAAGGGCTAATCGGGAGCATGTGGAGAACAGCGGAGAGGGCTTGGGATCACAGGTGGGAGCCTGATGCTTTTCTCTTTTTCTCACCACAGATTTGGAATTCCCCCAAGATTATCCCTCCAGCTGCCTCCTTGGCTGCGTCGACTTGAGTGACTGCTTGTCGCAAGAGCAATTTAAGGAACAGGTAAGCTGAGCAAAGGTCTGCCCATATAGGTGGTTGATGGAGCAGTGGCATGTTGTTTTGATGCTTGTGGCAAAAATGAATGCATCCCCTCCCCTCCCCCCCCCCAAAAAAAACAAACAAACCTTGTTCTGACTTCTGCAGTGGTTTTCCTAGTTGAACATCCACAAAGACCCTGTTGGTAAAGAAAATGTGGAAAACGTGATACCCATGTTTTATTTATTTATTTATGTATTTGCGACATTTATATGCCACCTTTCTCACCCCAAAGGGGACTAAGAGCGGCTTACAAGATACACACACACACATATATGCACACACACACACACATACACACATACAATATATTATATTATTAGCATAGTCCAATATCAGTATTATATATTACTATTTTGTACTACACCATTATATCGTAATATTATTAGTAATATTACACGTAATATAAAATATATAATTATAATACTGTATTATTATATTGTATTACATTATAATATTATAAATATTACTAGCCGTCCCCTGCCACGTGTTGCTGTGGCCCACATGGGGGTTCTGTGTGGGAGGTTTGGCCCAATTCTATCGTTGGTGGGATTCAGAATGCTCTGTGACTGTAGGTGAACTGTAAATCCCTGCAACTACAACTCCTGAATGTCAAGATTCTATTTTCCCCAAACTCTACCAGTGTTTACATTTGAGCATATGGAGTATTTGTGTAGAGTTTGATCCAGATCCATCATTGTTTGAGTCCACAGTGATCTCTGGATGTAGGTGAACTACAACTCCAAAACCAAAGGACACTGCCCACTAAACCCTTCCAGTATTTCCTGTTGGCTATCATGTTTCCTCTCAGCCTTCTCTACTTCAGGCTAAACATGCCCAGCTCTTTAAGCCGCTCCTCATAGGGCTTGTTCTCCAAATCCTGGATCCTTTGAGTATCCCTCTTCCTCTGAACACATTCCAGCTTGAGAGTCAACATCTCCCTTTAGTTGTGGTGCCCAGAATTGGACACAGTATTCCAGGTGTCAAACGGTATAAATTCTACAGTGTAGACAAGTGTGTCAAACTTGTGGCCCTCCAGATGTTTGGGAAGCCATTGGAATCTGGAAACAGAAGTCTTAAAATGCCTGGAGGGCCACAACTCTTTGACACCACTGGTACAGATGCACCTCAAGTTAATCCATTGAAAGAAGAAGAATCGGGACCAGAGAGGGATGGCTTCAACGCATTCAAGTTAGAGATAGCTTGCACTTTTCAAAAGCCGCACAGTCTGCGTGGGAAAGCCTGCAAAGCCGAGCAGGAGGAGGCGAGAAAGGAACTGTGAGAAACCACCACGGCTCATAGTAATAGATTTGGTAATCAAAATGACTTGGCGAAAAGGAGAAAAAATACCGTCCTAACGGCTTTGGTTGCTGAGGTTACAAACCACAGTCCTTCTCTGCTCCTTAACTGGACACATCGTCCCCGGAGGCTGCGGAGAGCTTTCTGCCTGCTGCTCACAGATAACAGAAACACACTGGCAAGGGGTTGGGTGGCTCTGAAGGAGAGACACCAAACGCCTTAGCAAGGCTGCTTCACTCCCTTTTCATCTCACCCGGATGGAAGCTCAACCTTGCGATTCATGCTGACTGATCTGTGCAAAACCGCACTGGAAGTGGTAAGAAAGGAGGTAGGCCTTAGGGTCACCACAAAGCACAATGGCGAGGAAGCAGCCTGCGCTGGGTGCAAGGAGGGAAGATGTACAGTCAGCAATCCACGTTTGCTAGGATTATTTATTTATTTATTTGCGACATTTATATCCGACCCTTCTCACCCCGAGGCTTACATAATTGGCATTATTCCGTGCCCAAACAACAGCAACAATTAAAAACAATTAAACAACAATTTACAGCAACATATGTTGTATCCTGTGCTTTACTAATAATATAATATATTGTATATACATATAATATTTATCTATATAAATAAAAATGTAATGTTCATTTGTGGGATTAACATAACTCAAAAACCACTGGACGAATTGACACCAAATTTGGACACAAGACACCTCTCAGGCCGACAAGTGACCATCACTCATAAAAACACTGAAAAACACAGCAGAAGGGACTCAAAAAGCCAAAAAAAAAAAAATACATTACAATGCACGTGCAAAACCATACATATATACACAAACACACATATATACACACATATATGCATATACACATACAAAACACATAGACAGAAAGGAGGAAGGAAGGAAGGAGGGAAGAAGAAGGAAAAAGAAGAAGGAAGGGAGAGAGGAGGGAAAGGAAGAAAAAGGTAGAGAAGGAAGGAAGGAGAGAAAGGGGGAGAAAGAGGGAGAGAAGGAAAGAAAGAAAGGTAGGGAAGGAAGAAGAAGGGAGAGAAAGAGGGAAAGGAGGAGAGAAAGAAGGAGAGAAGGAAGGAAACAAAGAAGAGTAGAGAAGGGGGGGAGAAAGAGGGAAGGAGAGAAGGAAAGAAAGAAGGGTAGAGAAGGAAGGAAGGAGAGAAAGGGGGAGAAAGAGGGAGAGAAGGAAAGAAAGAAAGGTAGGGAAGGAAGAAGAAGGGAGAGAAAGAGGGAGCCTCCACCGTGTCCCGCGTGCCGCCTGCGCGACCGGAACCACCTAGCGAAAGCTGGCGCGAACGGCGAGAAGGCCCGAGACCACGAAGCTGAACCACAGCGCAACAGGAAGTGGGAACGCACCCGTCGCGCAGGCCGCCCGCAGACAGGGCCCGCCAAAGAGGAAGGAGAGGGAGGGAAGGAGGAGAGAAAGAAAGAAGAGGGAGGGAAAGTCACGCATGGCGGGTACAGCTAGTACTTATAATGTAATACAATTTAATACTAGTACTAATAATAATAAATATTATAATTACATATTTTATATTATGTAATATTACTAATAATATTACAATATAATGGTGTAGTACGATATAGTAATATATAATATATAATACTGATACTGTACTATGCTAATAAATATATTGTGTGTATATATATATATATATCTTGTAAGTCGCTCTGAGTCTCCTTCAGGGTGAGAGGGGCGGCATATAAATGTCGAGAATAAAAATAAAAATAAATAAATGTTAATGATAATAAACTTTACTTATAACCCGCCTCCATCTCCCCAAAGGGAATTTGGGGCGGCTAACATGAGGCCAAGCCCAAAATAATGCAACATAATACAACATAAACACAGAACAACAAGGGAATACATCATATAAACACTAGACGACTAGTGTGCAGAGATCCAAAGCCAGATCATCAAATAATCATATTCATTAATCCAGCGTCAATTCCAACTGCATTGCACAGATAATTATGCTGGGCCAAATACTTGCTCCCAAATCAGTTGTTTGCAAAATGACAGGAGGGAAGGGGCCAATCGACTCCCACTCCCACAGCCGACGGGCCACCACTAAGAAGGCCCTGTCTCTCGTTCCCACCAGTTGCACCTGTGAAGGTGGTGGGGCTGAGAGCAGGGCCACCCCAGAAGATCTTAACCTCCATGATGGTTCATAGAGGGAGATGCGTTCGGACAGGTAAGATGGGCCGGGGGTTCAGGGCTTTATAGGCCAAAGCCAACACCTTGAATTGTGCTCAGTAGCAAACCAGCAGGCAGTGGAGCTGGCGCAATAGGGGGGTTGTGTGCTCCCTATACACCGCTCCCATTAGTACTGGGATTTATAGTTCACCTGCAGATCAAGAGCAGTTTGCACCCCACTGTTGATGGACCTCGACTTAGGTTGGCACATAGCCTGAGTCTCCATGAGAAGGAACAGTGGGCAGGCAGTGAACTAATTGCCATGGACTCTGCGATTGCAGATGCGAGGATTTTTCCTTCAGAAATGGAATGCTGCTAAAAGTGAGCCAGTAAGCTTTTGGGCTCCCAACCCCACCTGTCGGAACTCAGACGCCTTAAAGAGCCAGACTCAAGAGTATGTCCAAAAGTAGAGTTTATTAACCCAAAGCAAAAGGACTCAAAGACACTTACTTCAGTGTCTCTGGTCAAAAATAAAAGGTAGCAGCAAGTTCCAGCTTTAAAAAAACCCTAAAGCAATAATCCGGATTATCCGGAGAAAAGATCTGGATTAAACTGAAGTGCTTCCAAAGTCACGCAAAACAACACAGCAAGTAAAGGACGAACAAACAAAGAGCTGTGAAGCAGGGGACGTAGTCAAAAGAAGTCCGAGGTCGAAGAAAGCCAAATCCGAAGTTGCGAGGTTCCAAAAGTCCACGTAGGCAGCGTCATAGTCGAAAGCAGTCTGAAATCAAATCCACACTCACGAGAATCCAAGCCAAGTTGTAACATGATAGGAAGCAGCAACCTGCAGATCCAGGACCCAAGCCCAACATGAAAGCAGCAGCGACAAAACCCAAGGCATGAAACCAACACTTTGCCTTCTGCAAAGAACCACCATTTCAGTGCCTACTTTTCTCTTACACCTCATCATCCGATGATGAGCTGACGTCCGCCCTGCCATTACCACTTACAGCTGTCCTTATTTCCACACCTGAACTCCGACGCCCATCCCTCTAACTCTTCCACCCCTTGTCAATAATAATAATAATAATAATAATAATAATAATAATAATAATACTTATACGCTACCATCTCCCAAGGGACTCGGTGCGGCTTACATGAGGCCGAGCCCAAAATACATCAATACATGCAATAACAACCACAATACAAAGCAAAATACAAATACTAATACAAAGAAATTAAAATAAAACACATAAATAGCATAAACATTGAACAGTAGCACAAAACACATTTAAAATCTATGGCTGGGCCAAATGTAATTAAAGTTAAAAAAAATGCTGGGAATGAACAAGACAGAGGAGGTAGGGCGTTGGTGGAAAGGAACAAGCAATCCTAAATCAGTATGAAGTGCTTTTAGAGGACATAATGCTAAGGGTTCATTATTCTGGGAAGGCACACTGGAACAACTACGTTTTCAAGCTTCTCCTAAAGACTGCCAAAGTTGGGGCATGCCTGATGTCTTTA